CGAATATACCACAGCTTCTCTAGCCATTCGTTTGTTGATGGGCACTTAGGTTGTTTCCAACTCCTTGCTATTATGAACAAAGCTGCAATAAACATTCCCCCCCTTATTTTAAGCATAGGGTGTATTGAGAGAAGAAGAGATACAGTACCAGCCTGACTCATCAGATTCAAACTTGATCTTTGGAGTACCCAAACCCAAAAGAAACCATTGCCATTGGGCCAGTTTTGATTTATAGTAATTCATGTATTACAGAGTAGAACTATTTCTTGGAATTTTTTTGGCTTTAATCTTTACAGAAGCAAATTGCTAAATTTTTTTTTATTTAAGTACAATTTTTATTTTATACTGGTTTCCTTACTGCTTGATCTTTTTTATATAGTGCCTCTAGGTAGATTTGGATCACCAGCCATAACATTAAAGTTGAGTGCTAATTGTTTGAACTACATAGATATCTTTTTAGTGTATCAAATATCTAGAGATTTCAAATTGTCAAATGTTAATTATACAGGTGAAAAAAGATATTTGTCTTCTAATTTTAGAAGAATACTGGATGTCCTGATTCTCTATCCCCTCCTTAGTTTTTATGTATATTTAGGCTGTTTCAATTTTTATATGTATATGTAGTAGCAAATATTTAAATACAGTTTCTAATGTCTAAATAGAAAAATGAGTTTTTACATCTCATGTACATTTTCCTTTCATTAGATTGATGTTAATAAAGACCGGTTGGTGACTTTGGAGGAGTTTTTAAGAGCTACGGAAAAAAAGGAGTTCTTGGAACCAGATAGTTGGGAGGTAATAGATCCTGTCTTTTTATTTTTTATTTTATTTAAATTTATTATTAATTTCAGTAAAAATTTACAGAGACTTTGGATTTCCATTCATTCATTGTTACACTTTTCTCTCTTCCCAACCCTCCCCCCAGTACACTACCCTCTTGGAAAAGTAAAAGAAAAATTCTTTCATTATTTTACAAACCCTCCCCCAGGCCTACTCCACCATGTAGCCTTTGCTGTAGACTCCTGTCATGACAAAAATACCTAATCACATATCCCTCTTAAACAGTTTTCTCCCTCCTCTGTTTCAATGCAGTGTACATTATTGAACCCATCTTTTTCAGTCTCTCCCCAACCCCAAGGTCAGTCCTGTTTTACAACAATGGCACCATGCGGTATTTGTCCTTTTGTGACTGAGATACTTCACTCAGCATAATGTCCTCCAGAGTCACCTATTTTGAATAATATTGCATGAATTCTTTGTTTTTCAATGCAGCGTAGTATTCCATTGTGTGAATATACCACAACTTCTCTGTCCATTCGTTTGTTGATGGGCACCTAGGTTGTTTCCAACTCCTTGCTATTATGAACAAAGCCGCGATAAACATAGTTGTGCATATATCTACTTGGGTGTCAGTTATGGTCTCTTCGGGGTATATTCCCAGTAGTGGAATTGCTGGGTTAAACAGTATCTCTATTTGCAACTTTTTGAGAAAGTGCCATACCGCCTTCCACAGTGGTTGCACCATTTTACACTCCCACCAACAGTGAATAAGGGTTCCAGTCTCTCCACAACCTCGGCAGCATTTGTTGCTTGCTCTTCTGTTAAATTTTGCTATTCTGACTGGGGTGAGATGATATCTCATAGTTGTTCTAATTTGCATCTCTCTTAGAGCTAGGGATTTTGAACATTTCTTCATGTGCTTGTTAGCCATCTGAATGTCTTCCTTGGTGAAGTGTCTGTTCATATCCTGTGCCCATTTTTCTATTGGATTATTTACCTTTATCTTGTTGTGGTGAATAGATCTTGTATTGACTGAGATATATGGTCCAACAAATTCTCCATTATATATTCAGTATAAAGTAAGAAGTTTTGATTCTTGAAAAGCTTGTAACAGTTGATTATTTTGTAATCAGTGTGTATAAATAGAAGTTTTGTTAAGATTAAATTTTTCTCTAAGCATAAAATAATGTTAATTATAGAAAATAAAAAATATAAGTGCATTTAAAGAGTAAATATATTTATTCTTTAATAAGAACATTTAAACTATACAACGTATTAATTCAACTAGAAAATACATAATTTATGTAATACAGTATGTGCCCATGCAGTATCTAAGTCATATTTTCTACCTACCAGTCCTCCTGCTTTGTTTCCAAATTTTACATTCCAGTCACCAGTTATTAATGTATCTTGATTGCATGTTCAGTCAGTTTCAAACTATAAAAGTTTATAGAAATCCTCAAATTTTTTTCATTGGTTTTTGTGCTTGGTGCGTATATTTGAATAATAGTTATCTTAACAGGACTTCTTTATATGCATTAGAATGAAAAAAAATAAAGCAAGGGGAAGGAATGCTGAGGTAAGACAGCTGAACAGATGATTTCAATGGGCAGCGAGAAACAAAGCAAAGAATTATAGTGAAATGTGCAAAGAGCTGGAGTTAGAAATCCAAGAGGGAGGAACACACCCAGCATTTCTCAAACTGAAAGAATTAAATAACAAAATCAAGCCTGGAGTTGCAATACTGAAGGATTCGGTGGGCAAAATCTTGAATGACATAGGAAACATCAAAAAAATATGAAAAGAATAGACATTGTACCAAAAAGAACTCATTGACAAGAAAACATTTCAGGGAGTAGCATTTGATCAAGAACCAATAGTACTGAAGGAAGAAGTCCAAGCTTCACTGAAAGCATTGGTAAAAAAGAAGTCCCCAGGAATTGATACCATGCCACTTGAGGTTTTTAAGGAACAGGTACAACTCTGGATATGCTCACCAATATCTGCCAAAAAATATGGAAGACAGTTACGTGCCCAATTGAATGAAAGAGATCCATATTTATTCCCATTCTCCAAAAAAGGTGATCCAACAGAAATGTGGAGATGATTTCAGGTATTTTTAAATAATAATCTTAACGAAGATTATTAAAAATAGTTGAAATAGTACTTTGACAGGGAACTTCCAGAAATTCAAGCTGGATTCAGAAGAGACTATGGCACAAGAATTATCATTGTTAATGTCTGATGGGTCTTGACTGAAAGCAGAGAATACTAGTAAGATGTTAACTTGTGCTTTGTTGGTTGGTTATTCAAAGGAATTTGACTGTGTGGATCATAACAAATTACAGTTAACATTGAGAAGAATGGGAATCCCAGAGCATGTAATTGTGCTCATGCTGAATCTATATGCAGACTGAGAAGCCATTGTCCAAACAGAACAGGGAACACTGCATGGTTTAAAATCAGAAAAGATGTGCATCAGGGTTGTATCTTTCTACCTGTTCAATCTATATCATGAATAAACCCTTCTAGAAGCTGGACTATATGAAGAAGAATGAGGCATCAGGATTGGAGGAAGAAGAAGACTTAGTAACCTGTTAGGCAGATGACACAGTCTTCCTTGCAGAAAGTGAAGAAGACTTGAAGCACTCTGTGCAGAAGATCAAAGACTACAGTCTTCAATATGGGTTACATGTCAACATCAAGAAGACAAAAATCCTTACCACTGCGCCAATAGGTAATATTGGGGTAGATAGAGAAAAGATTGAATTTACTAGTGATGTAATTTTACTTGGATCCACAATCAAAACCTATGGTAACGATAGTCAAGAAGTCAAAAGATTTGTTGCATTGGGGAAATCTGCTCTCAAGAAACTCTCTGAAGTTTTTTAATATTTTAGTCTAAAGACTAAAGTGTGTCCGAACCAAGCCACAATATTTTTTGTTACTTCATTTATATCTGAAAGCTGGACAGTGGATAAGGATGACAGAAAAAGACTCAATGGCTTTGAGTTGTGGTTTTGACAGTATACTGAATATATTGTGGACTGCCAAAAGAACAGATAAATCTACTTATAGCTCCTTATAGCACAGGAAGGTAAAATGTTGTCTTATTTGCTTTGGACATATTTTTAGGAGCAACCAGTTCTTCAAGAGAGACATAATGCTGGGAAAGTTCGAGGGTTAACAAAAGAGAGGAAGACTCTCAATGAGATGGATTGTCACAGTGACTGCCACAGTGAGCTTGGACATAACAGATCATGAGGCTGGCACAGGAAAGGGCAAGCTTAAAATATTTTATTCATAGGATTGCTAAGAGTCATAGTCAATTTGATGGCACCTAGCATACTGAATCCCATATATAAACAGTGCTTTGTCCAATTTTTAATTTGTATATACACATATATATTCCATTCTACATGAGGTTAGATCTGTTGTTTATATGATAACTAATTTTTTTTTCTCTTTTTTTTTTCTATAATTATATTTTATTAATTTTCATAAACATTTACAGAGATTTTGGGCTTCCACTC